GATGGTGAAATATCACCATTAAAGATTTGAGTCTCTCTTGATTTCAGTAAAAAAATGAGTTTGCCTTTATTTGGTATAAGTTTGAGTCAAGCGTTGAAACAAATTTTTTAAACTTTTTTACTCAAATTTAAATTTAAGTCTAAATTTGAGTGAGAGTTGAAAAATACCCTAACCATGACTTATNGTTCCTCTGTTCGATAGAATGAATGACTGAAAGAGAAAGAACACTCTTATTCTAATTGGCCTAGGAAGCGTCGTAGGTGGCAGGCCACCTGGGCGGCTGAACCTCCAACAGAAAGAGAAGAATAGGATAGCAAAAAATAAAATTAAAATCTTACTGTTATTTATAAAATAAAATTAAAATCTTACTCCGATCATAACTCAATTTTTTTTTAAAATTTAAATTAATATTTGAGTAAAAAGATTAATTTGATATAAATGACTCAAATTGACAAACTCAAATTTAAAGAATGAGAGATTCAAATTTAAATGAAGACAAACTCATATTTAAAAGGGAATAAAGATGATCATTGGATTTTTAAAAGATGGTGAAATCTCACCATTAAAGATTTGAGTCTCTCTTGATTTGAGTAAAAAAATGAGTTTGCCTTTATTTAGTATAAGTTTGAGTCAAGCGTTAAAACAAGTTTTTTAAATTTTTTTACTCAAATTTAAATTTAAGTCTAAATTTGAGTGAGAGTTGAAAAATACCCTACCATGACTTAAATGTAAACTCAAATTTGAGTAAAAAATTTGATTTGATATAAAATACTCCAATGAACAAATTCAAATCTTTTAAAAATTCTCTTATTGTCCCAAAACTCATTTTTAAATTTTTTTTTCACCAAAATATCTGTTCTCTCATCCTTTTGTTTTATATCACTAGTGAGATTCCAAAGCAGTATCACTTCTAAATTTTCATGTAAAATTTAGGTACAAAATAAGTTTTGTTTTAATTTGATATTGGTTTAGATGTAAGGTTGGTGAGGTTTTTTCGGTCATTTTGACTTAAATTTAAATTTGAATCTACAATTGAGTCATGATTGAAAATACTCTAATAGATGAGACTTTTCCTATCTTTTAAATCTCGTTTCTCAATCCATTTAATCATTTTACTTCAAACTAATAAGTTCACCCATCTATACTCATCTCCTAAGTTACTAAACCTACCGCATCTATATTTACTAATTAAAATTTAATTTTATTTCAACCTACTATATAGACAATAATCAAAATTTTATTTCAGTGTATTATTTTAGTATGAAAATATTTCAGAAATAGAATAAAAATAAATAATTATTTTTAAAATATTATTCAAAATATATCAAAACACCTTAAAAATATTTCAAAGGCATTGATTAAAATATATCAAAATATATTAAAATAAGTCGAAATAATATATATCACTTCAGAATATTGCAAATTTATTTCAATTACTGTTTTTGTTTTGATTTCTTTGACATATATTTAATAGTTTAATTGAATAGGTATAAATGAGGTGAACTTAGTAACTAATGAAGTAGGTATAGATGAAGTGAATTTAATAGTTTAAGGAAGATGATTAAATGAGGTGGGAAAAGAGATTTAAAGAGTTGAAATAGCCCCACCCATTTATAATTTTGAGAATCATTTACGATTTTTAAGGTGATTTATACTTTTTGGGATTCATTTATAAAACTTATAAAATCACCAGAATATTATATATTTTTACCATAAAAAAACCCAAAAACTTTTCATATTTCAAAAGAAAGGTATGCCTTTCATAAAAGAAGTATGACCAGTAATTGAGCCGATTATTGCGAGCTCAGTCTGACTGAGTCGAGACAAACTGAGTCGAACGCCAGCCACTCGATTAGTTTACCTATAAATAAGTTGAGATTAACAAACTCGAGCCCAATCTTTTTAATCTCATTTTTTAAGATTAGCTCATTTCTTTTAGAAAAACAAGTCATGCTGAAATCGAATTAAGCCCAAATAGCTTCACTCAATTATTAGCACTAAAAAGAAGGTCAATGTTTCATACTTCTAGCTTAATTTATTTAATGCCCTTGTGTTTGGATAATTTCATATTTATCCCCTCAATTATCAGCAGTAACTTAAAACCAAAAAACAAAAAACGTCTTTGAATTGTAGATAACATTATTATTTGAATCTATGGTTCAGTTTCATACAAATTACTGATTTATCAAGACGGCAGTTCTGAAATTACTTAGTTATATATGCACTAGTGGTAAGAAGATAACAATATTACATTTTATTCCCATGATATTAAAAGTTTTTGCCAAATTTAAATCTTATTGCATAATAAAAGTAAATTCTTTGGACGAAGAAAAAACACTCAAAAAATAAAAATTGGGATTCAATTTAAGTAATGAAATTCAGACGCTAATTAAGTTCTGATGAATGCAGTATTATTTCATCATATATATTTTTTTGCTCGACTAAAAGTAAATAAGTTCATTTTTTCATTATAAATAAAATATAGATGGTAAATAAGACATTTATTTTTGCAGACTCTGAAATGAAAGAATTAACATTTGAGATGTTTTTTTTTATTTATTTTAAATATCCTTCAAAAGAAATTTTTGGATGATTTCTCTCACTTTTATGCATGCACAATCCACTTTTTACATATTAGAAAAACATAAAATTCATTTAAATCATGTCACTCTTGAGAAAAAAATATATGATGATCCCATAATACTTTCAAAATAGCATAAAAAAAGATTATGTTATTAAAAACATAATTGAATCTTTTATAGAAAACATTTAATTAAATCAAACATTTACAATTCAAGACTCAAGAGGCTCGAGCTAAGTTTTCATTAACAAACATAAATTCATCACACAAATGTAATTACTCATTCAAAATCAGAAAACCAACATACCCAAATCCACGTACCACCACAAAAATATCTAACTTGAAACAAAATAAGCACTTTTTTTGGTCAGGGGGGATAATGAGTAATACAAATGTGATTGGAGAAAGAAAAGAAAAACCCAAAAGTGTTGGGGGTAATGGAAGCGATATATTAACTACCCTGTTAATCGTGTCGGGTTTTAATGAATTCATATTAAAAAATATTCTACCTATACCTAGTTCGTTTATTAATTTACTAGTCATAACCCGTGTTTGAAGGTACGATAAAATATAAAATTCGAACGCCCAATAAATCGATCTCAATATATTAAAGAACAATTTTTTCCTTCATTTATTTGATTACATCATTTAAAATTTATTTTTACCTATTATTTTTTAAAAAATATTAACAATTTTCTCAAAATATATAATTTGACAAAATTTTCTCAACATGTGTATACTATTGTATATAAATAACATCGAAAATAAAAAACTATGTTAAACTACAAATTAATCAAATATTAAATGATTGAAGATGTGATATAAATGAGTAATGTGATGTTTTTGAGAGGAAAACTATGTAGGGGATAAAATTCAAATTGTTAGGTGTTTTATTATATAGATACACTAGGGGTAACCCGTGCCTGAAGACATGGTGTAACGTGAGTGAGAAATAATGAATTTGAAAGGATAGAAATTCAATATGAATGGTTTTAAGAGGGAACGAAAGGAAGTTCCAACAAATAAGACCAATACCCTAAGAAATCAATTTTAATATGTTAATTTTAGGAGATTTGATATGAATTTCTTTTTCTTTTTTAGGGTTCTAGTACCCAACTTGTTTGACCTAATTAATTTTTTTCATAAATCATTACAACGGGCCCAATTTAGAGTATCCAAAAAAAATATATAAAACATATATAACTAAAAAAAAATAAAACCCACTCCTCTATTCGCCACTGCCAAAGAGAGAGAGAAAGTGAAGAGTGAGAAGAGAAAAGTAAAATTTAATCTAAATGTTTTTCAGAGAGTTGTTGGTAGTTGTTGGATGAGTTTATTTGAAACCGTCGGATGAATATATTGAAGTCTTTCCTATTTTATATTATAGATAAATTCACAAAATATGATAGAATTTACTTAAAAAAATATTAATTTATATACATGTAATCAAAATTGAGTCAAATATAATATAAATTAAAAATCTAATTTATCAAAAAGCATATCGCCAAAATATATTCTATTAAAAAGTTCTACAAATATCATTTTTTTAATTAGTACAAGTTATTAAAAAATTATTAATTTATAAGGATATATTAGTGTTGAATTTTCTTAAGAGATAAAAAAAAAATTAGTCTTGAACTTTTGATTCAAGATACGTGTAAGACATGTTAGTTTGAGATAATTAATTAAATAAATAAAATTAAAATTAATTATATTCAATATAAATGTGTTAAATAACGCTCTTGTTTTTTTTATTTGTTAAATTGATGAGTTTTTTTAATCAAAATGTTATTATTGTGTCTTATAAAAATTCAAAATATTACACTAAAAAGATGATATTAACGACAAATTTGACTCATTTAATTATTATGTTAACGAAAATTCTATGTTCCAAGATCAGCCGTAATCGTTGATAAATTGAGGAAATAATATTAAAGAAAAAATGGTAATTTCTTGATTGTTAGATGAATGAATTTAAAATCGTAGGATGTGTCCAAAATTAACCGTAATCGTTGATCGATTGGGAAAAAAAATATTAAGAAAAAAAAATGTAATTTTTTGACCGTTAGATAAATGAATTTGAGAGCGTAAGATGAGCTTGTTAAAACCGTCTTGTTTTATATTATAGATAACGAATCATGTCATTTTCTGGTCAAAAAAAAATTATATTATATTAAGTTTGTATCGTGTATGAATTCTATATAATCGGTATTTAAATAAATCATGTTGTATATTTTTTTTGATTTGTTTCACATACACCCAATTTATTTATTAATTATATGAAATTAAGTCTCCTCATTTACCAAATAGATGATTTATTAAATAATTAAACCCTTTTATTTTACGCCGTATTCACTTGCCAAATTGTAACACCCTTATTAAACATGACATTAGGCACGTGACTCCGTGCCGCAGATGCTGAAGGACGGTTCGTGTGTTGAGCGCAAAGCTAACTGAGCGGATTGCGAAACAGGGGTTTTTCCTCGAACGAACACCCCACTCCCCGGGCGCCAAATACACACACAAATCCGCCATTTTCGATCGAATTTGCCTTTAATAAGTGGCGGCGAAACGATGATTTTAAAGGAGTAAGCGATGTCGTCGTCGAGATCGTTGATACATCGAGTCGCACCTTTTTTCGCAGCTCGGATTCGACAGAACCAGAGGCTTCTGAGCTCATCGTCCTCTGCTCTTCCTCAACACCAATCCTTTTCTGAAACTTCGTCTCTCGATGCCGTTCACCTGACCGATAATTGCGTCCGGGTACTCCTGTTTTTACTCTCATTTACATACAAAGATTGTTATAGTTATACCTACGTACGTGTTCATTATATTGTGGATTTGTGGTTATTGACGTTTTAATTGAATTTCTCACTCGATGCAACAACCAAAGTATGCGAAAGATGATTAAAGCCCTATCGATGACGCTCGTGTATGTGCAAAAAATTTGATTGATCGAAATGTGTTGTAGTTTGAATTGGAAATGAAGACCTGGGTTATTGGCAGTTTTGCGATAAATTAGTAAAAGGTGGTGAGCATTCTGGAAGAATATTATGTGCAAATAGTGATTTCTAAGGCAAGTAAAAAAATTATTCCCATCACGTATGCTGCTTCGATTGATTTTTCTTCATAGTTTTACAGTCTTATCGATTTTCTTCATTTTTAGTCCCATATCTCAACGACTCCACCTTAAAACCTTTCACATATTTTAGCGGTAAATTTTTATATGAAGAACTTGGTGTGCCTGAATCATGCGTTGATAGGGTGTTGTGCCAAGTTTGAAATATTGGCATGTGAAGTACTTGAGTTTGTGTTTTGGATAATTTTGTCATGATCGAATTGAATCAACTTAATGAATAACTTGCAGAGAATGAAAGAATTGCAAGCAGATGAAGCAAAGGAAAGAATGCTTCGGCTGAGCATAGATGCAGGTGGATGTTCTGGTTTCCAATATACCTTCTCACTAGAGGATAAAACCAATACAGATGACAGGTTCTCTCTTGTTTTATTATTCCTAGGAATTTTTCTTGTTGCTTTATGATTTACTGCTATGAAAACTATTGAAATCAGCTTGCAATTCAGATCATTCTTTTAGATATTTTTATTTGTTATCCTTCAGTGTCGTGTAGGATTTTTGAGAGGGATGGAGTCAAATTGGTGGTCGATAAAATTTCATTGGATTTTGTCAGAGGTGCTACTGTAGATTATGTTGAGGAGCTGATCCGTTCTGCATTTCAGGTAAATCTCCACAGTTGTACTTCTTTTTGTATTATCATCGCGTGCCTTATGCCTGCACCCTCGTTATAGAAAGACTGTCTTATCAGATAAATGTATTTTGAGAACAAGCCTTAAATCAATAACTATATTTAAAACGTGTTTTGGGGTTACTAAGTTCATCAAAACTATCTGGTATGGTTGTCTAGTAAATAGTAATCATTTCAAATCTTTGAAAGCCTAACCCAGACATGAGTTTTGAAGTATTCCTGTTCAGAAAACACTGCAGCAGCTTCACTGTGGTTCTAAATTATATCATCTGCAAGAGTAACAAGTGGTCTAAAATAGAACTGTGAAATATACATTTAACTGAGGCAAGTTGTACACTGGTTTCAATCCATTTTGGTGGACACAATTCTTCAATTTTATCTGGTGGACTGGTTGATTGCAAATTTGATTTATTTATTTAATAGTAAGAAAGAGAGATGTATTAAAAAGGGCCAGGGACTATGCTATGAACTTTTATTAAACAAAGAGTCCACTTCATGTGATGGAAATTACGGATATTTAGAGATTGCCAAGTGTGTCTGATTTCTTTTGTTTTGTGTGGTTGTGATAAGTCTGGCGAGTGTGCAAGATGTTGAGATAAGACAAGAAAATGAAATTCAGTTTTTTTTTTTTTGTTTTTAAGTGTCTGGGTTAATGTCCTTAGTTCAAAGCCTTGTTATCAGTTGCATTGAAATAAAATTCGGTATTTCTGTCCTTTGTCAAAGAAAAATTCAACAGTTGTTCTGTCAACTATAAAAAAGGACTGGGTCCAATTATGGTACTTCCAATTTGCTTTTCGGCATTGTACCAAGACTAATGTTGAAGTTTTTAACTCATTTGGTGAGGTTATTACAAAGTGGGTTGTTTCTAAATCGATCCCAATATTTTCAAATTTCATGTTAATTTTTTATTTATTTTTTTGTAAATTGTCCCCATTAAAGTATGATCGATTCTAATTTTTTTTGTTGTAACTTGATCCCATTTAGTTATAATTTGACTTGAATGAGTTGTAATTAACCCTTGTGTAGTTAAAAATTTTGGTATGGTGCATCCTTCTGTACCATAGTCACGCCCAAAAGGGGCCTTGTCCACTTTGCTATCTTCAGTTGAATTTTAGGAATTTTTTTTTATTAGAGATGCAGAAACAGGATTAAGAGTAGCTAAATAAATTATTTGGCGCATGATCTTCATTCATATGATAGGCCTATTAGGATTCAGAGTAAGCATGTGGCATGTTACTTCTGCGTCGTGTTTGAATGGCTGGATAAGGTGGACGGATAGGATATCCAACTCTTATGAGTGGATGCTTCATATGACGTAGCGGGGTGCATCTCTCTCTTGCATGGTTATTTAGCTTTTGCTCTTTGGTGCCAGTTCTTTATAGCTTGATACTGTTTCAATAAACCCTCTCAACCCGAACCCTCTTCCATGTCGTTCTACCATGCTATTATTTAAGTTCCTTTTTCGTGTGCCAGGTAGCTACAAATCCGAGTGCAGTGGGTGGATGCAGCTGTAAAAGCTCCTTTATGGTCAAATAATAGTTGGCTGCACTGATGTGAACCAGATACTTCCTCTATAAATCCAGCACGGTTAAGAGATCACCAATTTTTGGCTTAAATGGGTGAAGAGTTTTGATCAAGTTGCCGGTTATGCTGATTCATTGTGCAATTACAATATAACAAGTATCTATCTCGCGGTGCAATAACTAAATCATTCTCATACAGCTCATACTTTGAGTTCTCAAAATTTTTTGCATTTCACAATAATTGAGACTCATTTCAGGGAAACCCTTCAGTTATTTGGCCCCATTTGTTCAGGGCTGGTTGGTAACTAATGGGTCTGAAGGAGTGCATGTTCAACTAATGCTTGGAAATTTGTTACAAAATATGTGATTCCATATAGCACATCTGCAGGGGTAGCATTAGAGTGGAAAGATTCTGCATAGTAAACGACCTAGACGCCGACCAAATGATCAGTGAAACTATATAATCGGCCATTAACCGAATAGATGCAGCTTAGAGTTACAAAAGCCAGGAGAAATCTAATCCCGATTCAGTATTATAATTTGGGGACAGGTTATAACACAATAAGATAAAGTTATGGAATCAATTCAAGTTTTGTAGGATCAATCACTCCCATCTAGCTCCAATCAAGTCGTATCTTTTCCTGTTCAAACCTTAATTTGACCTGATTTAGTGGCAACTTGTCTTATTTAAATCATGATTTGAACTGTCGCACCATAGCAGACTTGCAAACAAGAGAACCACCACTAGAAAAAATCGGCTTTTATAGACCACAACTAGAGTATCTTCCAAAATCAGATCTCAGAATTGTGTAGTTCAAAACAGGAACTTTAAAAAAATGCAAACAAAATGGTCCGAAAGCAGTATCAAAAATCTAGCTCACTTTATACTCGCTGCACCAGCTCAGAGTAAGTAAACAAACTTCTTAAAAGATACGCTGTGTCTTGCCCATGGTGCTCTTCAGGTACAAGCATCTCACCTGATTACATGAACAAAACAGAAGAACAAGATGAATCACAACAAAGTTGTTCCAGTAAGAAAGCACCAAAGATGGACATATCATATCAGGTATGCAAAAGGAATGCCCAAAAAAGGAAATTATATAATAATCATTGTTATATGGTAATGACCGAATAAAACTACCACATTTATGGCCTTCCATTGTCTACTAAAATATATGTTCCCAGCAGCAAATTCAGGCAAGCACCTTATTCATGTAAAAAGCTAAGTTATTCGTTTAAGTCCCAGCTTATGTGTTTGTCTAGGTGGGTTTTTCTTCATGGTACCCTCATTTGTCTACAAGAAGTAGTTCAAACACTCCAGCTGTTTTTCTTGTAGCCAATTAAAGATCAATGCCTTATAAGAGAAGAGGTATACCAAAATGGTGACTCTTACCACATTAAACACTTGCCAACTGACAAATATAGCATAAGATTTGGGTGAAATGCAGAAACCTTAAAAAGTGAAAAGGACTATAACAGCACAGGGAAGCCAAAAGCACATAATTCAGATACGCCAGATGTGATGAGCAGATATAATTTAGAGCAGTAACTGTAACTACGTTAGCTAAAGATTGTTCTCGTCCAATTAAAATGGCGAATGCTAACTTACATTTTGCCAATTCTTCTTCAATAATGAAACAAGAAAGTTCACACTCATCTGAACATTCTGGAATATCTGTTTCTCTTCCATGCTACAGTTTCCCACAGCAACACCCATACAAAGAACTTCTTAAGTTGAAACTTCACAGTAGCTTTTGTTTCATTAACTTTTGACTCCAAGGATTCCTGATGAGTCACCAGAGTTCAAATGTCCTGCTTAGTGTTGTTAACTAAATCAAAAGGCTCTTATTATTAAATCAAGCCATTTTTAAGGTAAAGGCCTAAAAGCAAGCTTAGCAAAAAAATTGAATTGAAAGCAGAAAATGTAACATGATTTCTGTACAAGGTTAGAGCAAAATCAGCAATATTCTCTGATTCACCCAAGAAAAGCATGAATATCGAAAAATAGTCACAAGTCAATCTTACAAAGTCCTCAACTCAACACAATCATAACCAACTATTTGCAGTTGACTACATGAATCTTGTTTTGCAACTATGATCAATCATAAACTATCAAAGGGCCATAGAGTCTATTAACATNACTCAACACAATCATAACCAACTATTTGCAGTTGACTACATGAATCTTGTTTTGCAAGTATGATCAATCATAAACTATCAAAGGGCCATAGAGTCTATTAACACNATTGTGTTAGTATCTGCTGAAGATGTTGACCGAGACTCAAGCAAGACAGTTGCATCTCCTACGAATTCTCAGGTCACTTGACCCTTTTCAAATTCTGATTGTAAAGTTAAGTAACTAATATAGGCGTTGTAAACCTGAATAAGGTCCCATNATGGAAGTGAATGTTATATGTTTTTGCTATCTTATTCAAAGTTAATTTTCATCAATCAATATCTCTCGCATTATTATCTCTCCATCATCAGTTATTTTCTCAGTGTTTTTAATCCGATAAAAATTAGTCAACTAATCAAGATACATCCCCCAAACACTTCCAAATCTTAGTTTGATCACTTGCCTGCCTTATTGAGACCAGGTCCCAAAAGACGAGGGATCTGCTTGATAACAGCTTCGGATGCTAAGAAGGTATGGTACTTCTTGGCTNAATATGTCGGCTGTCTAAAAACTGGAAAAGACTTACCTCATGTTGAAGGTTGTGTCCTCTCAAACGGTTCCCCTGTAGATATACTTATCCTGTTAAAAAAAAAAATCGAAGAACATCGATAAAAATCGGAAAAATGAATCAGTAAGATCGAATGAATGAGAAAACAACCCGAAACTGTAAACTTATACAAAATACTTAGAGAGATCAAAGAACATATAATATAAGGTGCGACTGATTTGAGAGAGAGAGAGAGAGAGAGGTCGAACCTCAATGGAGTGCTGAGCACAGCAGCCCAGCGACACGGGGAGAGAGAGTGAGTGGTATATCAAAACCGTCGAGCCGTATAAACCCTAGACACGTGCTAGGGCTTTTCACACGAGTCCTCAGAGGCTATCAAAATGTCTAATTTAGCCTCTTTATTTTACAAAGTTCCGAAGAATAGAACGAGCGAAAATGAAAATGATAAAAAGTGAAGTAAAAGAAAAAAAAAGAAAATGNGTCCAAAAACAGATGCAACTAATGGTCCCAAATTCATGATTCTTATGGCAACATAAGAACCAAAAAACCAATAAACCTATATCGCGGAAGGTCATAAGGAGGGTAAAATGGTTTTCCCATTTGAGGCTTATGAAAAGAAGGGGGTTCACAAATAAAAATATGAAAAACAGAAAGAATAAGATAATAAAGACACACTCAGACTTCAATAGCAGCATCAAAATGAGAAAAACAAAATGCTTNGTCCAAAAACAGATGCAACTAATGGTCCCAAATTCATGATTCTTATGGCAACATAAGTACCAAAAAACCAATAAACCTATATCGCGGAAGGTCATAAGGAGGGTAAAATGGTTTTCCCATTTGAGGCTTACGAAAAGAAGGGGGTTCACAAATTAAAATATGAAAAACAGAAAGAATAAGATAATAAAGACACACTCAGACTTCAATAGCAGCATCAAAATGAGAAAAACAAAATGCTCNAAAAAATTTCAGTCTATTATTTTAAAGAAAGAAAAGTTACAAGAATTTTTTTTAATTATTTAAATTACCCTTAAGTATATTAAATTAATTGAAAGTATATTAAATTGATCGAAAGAAGTAAAAAATATTTATTATAATTAAAATTAATTTAAAATTTTTTAAAAAATAGCTCCTAACCTAATTTTAGGACAAACACCAATACTAAGTTCTCAAAACTAAATTATATGGTTAATCAAATTCATATTAAGATTTTTTAAAATTAATAACCAATCAAATATTTAAAAAAAAATAAGGGTAATATTGGAAGTTAATTAAAGATTACAACTTTCTTGTATTTTCTTGTACTTTTTACAAGAAAAAAAGTTAANCTACCTCATTGTAAATCATACCTAAAAATTGAAATGCATTTGGAGATTTCACTTTTGTTTCACATTATCACCATCAAGAGCAAAAATCTACCTCTTCCACATGTTGAGCATCCCCAAGCATGCAAACCTTCATCTTGGGACGAGGAATGTGTGGCAATTTCACAGAACCACTGAAACGCTTGTCTTTCTGGGGATCATAATTCTTCAANGGATATGAGAACACACCCTTTGAAAGCATATGATCCTCCGTGCTAAAGGAGTCCAACCGGTGCACAATCAATGAGGACTTGATATGTGTCAATTTATCTTTGAGTTTTACAAACATTGACGAGTTTGGCTTTGGCCTTACCTCATTGTAAATCATACCTAAAAATTGAAATGCATTTGGAGATTTCACTTTTGTTTCACATTATCACCATCAAGAGCAAAAATCTACCTCTTCCACATGTTGAGCATCCCCAAGCAGGCAAACCTTCATCTTGGGATGAGGAATGTGTGGCAATTTCACAGAACCACTGAAACGCTTGTCTTTCTGGGGATCATAATTCTTCAACCCAATCTGGAGCTCAATGGTCTCAGTGAAGTTACGATTTTTCTCCTTTGCTTCACCAACAATCTGGGAAATGGCCTCTCGGACAGCATCACTTTGTAGCTTACTGAAGACCAAAGAACACAAAAAGCAAAACACAGATACAAGTCAACATATTGACCAGCTACATCGACCGTACCATGCCAGTCCACAGGTTACAGTAAAAAAAGCATGCAAAATGCACGACAATTTTGGTTTATCAAGTCTTCTTTCAACACTTCGGGGTCTTGCCTCAACAAGAAGTTGAGATGTAAATACTTAGGAGGTGCTTGGATGATATATCAAAATGCAATCCCCCGCTTTTCTCAAAAGCCATTTCAGGACTAGTTTAAGAGTACGCTACAACCCACACAATTTAAAAAAAAAAAAAAATGCTTTTAGAAACAAAGCACACTCACATCATTCATTAACCATGAAACTTCTACAGTATAAAAACTGGAAAGATCCGCACAGATCATCTATATGAAACAATGTTGATTCCAAGTTAACAAGTGCCCAATAATGCAATCATCTTAAACACACTAAAATGACTTATCAAGTCTAGAGCCCCATACGACGATTGTGTTAGTATCTGCTGAAGATGTTGACCGAGACTCAAGCAAGACAGTTGCATCTCCTACGAATTCTCAGGTCATTTGACCCTTTTCAAATTCTGATTGTAAAGTTAAGTAACTAATATAGGCGTTGTAAACCTGAATAAGCTCCACTTTGTGCTCTGCTCTATTATACTGTAATCCTATAAATAGCAATACAATGTACTGAGTTTGGTGTGTGAGCCAAACCATTCAAATCAGTCTCTTGCCTCTCTATTTCAATTTGTTCATCTTACAGGACCCATAAACCATCACACACAGTATAATTAAGGTTATCAGGAGTGTCAATCCTGACTTAATTGTACACAATCTCAGTAACTTCAACGTTATCACATACGAAGAAATGAATCAGAAAATATGTCGGCTGTCTAAAAACTGGAAAAGACTTACCTCATGTTGAAGGTTGTGTCCTCTCAAACGGTTCCCCTGTAGATATACTTATCCTGTTAAAAAAAAAAATCGAAGAACATCGATAAAAATCGGAAAAATGAATCAGTAAGATCGAATGAATGAGAAAACAACCCGAAACTGTAAACTTATACAAAATACTTAGAGAGATCAAAGAACATATAATATAAGGTGCGACTGATTTGAGAGAGAGAGAGAGAGAGAGGTCGAACCTCAATGGAGTGCTGAGCACAGCAGCCCAGCGACACGGGGAGAGAGAGTGAGTGGTATATCAAAACCGTCGAGCCGTATAAACCCTAGACACGTGCTAGGGCTTTTCACACGAGTCCTCAGAGGCTATCAAAATGTCTAATTTAGCCTCTTTATTTTACAAAGTTCCGAAGAATAGAACGAGCGAAAATGAAAATGATAAAAAGTGAAGTAAAAGAAAAAAAAAAAAAATAAAAGAAAATATATTTTTATGTATATATTTGGTTAGTATGAACAAATTATGAGAAAGTTTTAAAAAAATTTCAGTCTATTATTTTAAAGAAAGAAAAGTTACAAGAATTTTTTTTAATTATTTAAATTACCCTTAAGTATATTAAATTAATTGAAAGTATATTAAATTGATCGAAAGAAGTAAAAAATATTTATTATAATTAAAATTAATTTAAAATTTTTTAAAAAATAGCTCCTAACCTAATTTTAGGACAAACACCAATACTAAGTTCTCAAAACTAAATTATATGGTTAATCAAATTCATATTAAGATTTTTTAAAATTAATAACCAATCAAATATTTAAAAAAAAATAAGGGTAATATTGGAAGTTAATTAAAGATTACAACTTTCTTGTATTTTCTTGTACTTTTTACAAGAAAAAAAGTTAATTAGTTATGAGAAAATCTAAGTATGGAAAAAATAATTTTTTTTCATCATTTTCTATTTCATGTTAACCAAACACATAAAAAATTTTAAATTTTTTTTTTCTTATATTTTCTATCATTATCCCAATAAACAAACGAACCCCAAGAAAGATATAATGGAAAGCGAAAAGAATAGAAAATGAAGTAAAAGAAAATATATTTTTATGTATACATTTGGTTAGAATAAAAAATTTCTAAGAAAATTTTAAAACAATTTCATTCTATTATTTAAAAGAAAAGAAAGTTACAATTTTTTTTTTCTAATTGTCTAAATTAGCTTTAATTATTTTAACTTGGTCTAAAGAAGAAAAAAAATATTTTTCTTATTATTCAAATTTTTAAAAAATTGGCTCCTAACCTAATTCAGGGACAATAATCGATTTAAATCCTGATCTCTAGACCAAATTATATGGTTAACGTAATTTGTACAATTTTTTTTAAAATTAATAACTAATTGAATATTTTTAAAAAATAAGGATAAAATGAGAAGTTAGGTTATTGAACACAACTTTTTTGTTTTTCCTTGTGTTTTTTATAAGAAAAAAAAGTTAGTTAGATGTTAAAGACTTTAAGTATGGAAAAAAATTATTTTTTCTATAATTTTTTATTTCATGTTAAAGAAATACATATAAAATTTTAAAATTTTATTTTTCTTGTATTTTATAACATTATCATACAAAACAAACAAACAGACCTTTAAGGAAATGAAATTTTTTTTTTTAAAATATTGTTGTCAAGATGTATTCATATCATTGTATTAATTTAAATTCAAATAGAAACTAAAAAAAATATTTACTTATGAAGAGATAACTCAAAGTTTTTGGGTATACTATTCAACATTTTGACTTAAACTTTTCCAGTTGTATGACAATTTGTTATCTTTGTCTTATTTGTTTTTATTAAATATTTCTTTATTATTATTCGGTTGAGTTGATTTCAAGTAATAAAAAAATAAAATCCAATATGTTTCTAAGTAATATTGGATTGTTTTTAAAATTTAATTTTATCAATTCCAAATTCATTAAATCTCAATTTGACATTTTAAGCCCAATCCGAGAATTAAATTTAAAATTCAATTTTAATGTTATGCCACTAAAATTAAATCTGAATTTTTTTTATTGGAATTTTCAATTTTTTTTCTGTAAGCTGAATTATCTGAATTCAATTTTAAAAATCCAATTATGATCTATATTTAAATTAAAATTTTCTAATTAATATTAATACTAATTTTATGGGTTAGGTTTTTTCAATACTTTTCTCTTTTATTTCTCAGATCATTCATTCTGTCCTGGCACGCGCTCACCACACTCCCTTCGCTGGTAAAATAGCACCGCTCACGACGGCGCGTGCGGCTATACTCTGTGGCCGACTTCTACCTAAACCCTGAAGTCAATCTCGGTACTGTGTTCAATTTCTGTGGAATTCGGAAAATGAGTCTAATCGATGAGAGCTTCGAATTGAGGGAGATTCAGAGGCTTGAAGGCCATACTGATAGGGTTTGGAGTCTCGCTTGGAAACCTGCTACCGGAATAGGTGGTGTACCGGCTGTTCTGGCTTCCTGTAGTGGCGATAAGACCGTCCGAATCTGGGAACAGAGTCGCTTAACCGGTTCTTTCGAGTGCAAGGTTTGATCTTTTTCTCTCGATTTAGCCACCGATTGGTTGCTGAGAAACTGCTGGAAACAGATGAATGAAAAATTGTTGTTTTTTTTGTTGTAATGATTTCTAGGTGATGGATATAACCGCGCAATTTCTACCCCAGTTCTGTCGTTGAAATTTTCGTTCTTTCTTTTGTTTGACTTGTGTTTGGGATGTGAGAAAATGGTTAGAAAAGAAAATCAAGCATTTTTTTTTATATTATATTTATCTCTGATGTCCTCTTAATATCGGGTGGAAAATAGAATTTCTAAATCACACGTTTGGAATTACATGAACTATGCTGATTTGTTGCATTTGGCAGTGGTCGTTCGGAAATTTGAGCTTTATAGTGTTATTTTACTTTAAGTCGCTTGACTAATGAATATATATGTTTAATGCTTGGGCAAACCTAGGGTGTACTGGTTGTTAAGCCAATGGCAGGGCAGCTAAGTTGGTATGGAAGAACTGCTCCGTTGCAAGGGATGATACTCTATACATGTTATCGAATGAGGTTTATGAGCAGTACTTTGACCGCGAGGTGCAATCAACACATGGCATGAAGTGATCTCGTTCTAAACGAAACTACTTTTGCTTTTCATAACCAAAACAAAAGAAAGTAAACATATTCTTGCAAAACCATTGGAAAACCAGATCCTAAATTTTAGACTTCTCATTAATTTTAAGCCCTTAAACTGGAAACCTCTGCTCGGTTATGAACCCCTAAGGAAAAACTTTTTGGAGGACAGCACCAAATATCACGTAAAACTTATTGCTTTAGGCTGTATTCGTATACTATCAATGGAATCAAGTGGAAGGCTAAAGTTGAACCTTTCAAGACTTTATTTTTTCTTGTTGACTGCAATCTTTTCTAAGCCTTCCTTCTTCTCTAGACTTTGCTTTGCATTTTCATTAATGATGCTCAGACTACAATCATGCAGGCAGTTTTAGAAGAGACACACACTCGCACTGTTAGATCATGTGCCTGGTCACCATCAGGTAAATTGTTGGCAACTGGAAGTTTTGATGCCACTACTGCTATCTGGGACAAGGTTGGCGATGATTACGAATGCGTGTCCACTTTAGAGGTACTATTTAATACTTAAAATCCACTAATGCGGTGTGTTGGCATATACATTCTGTTGTTTTCGTTTTTGAGCAGCAATTGTGACTTTCCTATGATTAAAGTTATGCATGCGGTAAATGCTAGGGCCTTAAAAAGTTGTACTTATATTGTGATGTTTCTTTTATTGGGTTTAGACATGTGGCCAAAAGATGGTCCCACCTGGGGTTATTCAAATCTTGACCTGCTAAAGTTATTGGAACACATCTATATTTTTTGAGGGCTGAATACATCTATATATAGAATGAATTTTAACTTGGGTCGTGCATTTCCCATGTAGGGTCATGAAAATGAAGTGAAAAGTGTATCTTGGAATGCTTCGGGATCGCTGCTTGCAACTTGTGGCCGAGACAAATCTGTTTGGATTTGGGAAGTTTTGCCCGGAAATGAGTTTGAGTGTGTTTCTGTATTGCAAGGACATACCCAAGATGTTAAAATGGTCCAGTGGCATCCATCTATGGATATTCTGTGTTCATGTAGCTACGATAACACCATTAAGGCAATTCAAATGTCCTGTTCTTTCTTACATTATATCCACATTTTCGCTCTCTCAATGGAAGCCCTATAAAATGTTTAATCATCTCAGATTTCATTTTTAAACTACATAAGTTGACATATGGTTGATTAAATGCATTAAATGGTATGCAGGTTTGGGCAGAGGATGGTGACAGTGATGATTGGCATTGTGTGCAGACGATAAATGAATCTAGCGAGTACGGCCTCAATTTTATTTCTTTGAACTTTAGTTGGCTTGTGCGAAATGAAGAGTTTTTTGTAAAAAACAAAATATTATTGACAGAATATTACAGTAATGCCAAAGGGAGGAATATCTTCAACCTAAGTAGGTGTCAAATGCGGATTTCCATAAATTATTTGATGACAGAAGTTTCATCAGTCATTTTGGCGTGTTTCACTTTCAATGTGATTTGGTGGCGGTTCTCTTAATTAGTAAATGCATCATCATTTGTATGAAGATACCTTAGTCTTGTCCTGAATCCCAATCATGCGCATGAACTTTATGTGCAATGCCACAGGTTTCTTTTGTAGCAGGGTTATATTTTTTGAAGCTTGTAATCAACCTTTCTTAAGATATGTCGAAATCTTATGCAACTACACCAATTGTCATTTCAGTGGACACTCATCTACAGTCTGGGCCCTTTCTTTTAATTCCAGTGGAGACAAAATGGTTACCTGTAGGTATGGATGGCTCGTCTCATGTTTCTGTACTTACTAATTGAAATGAATATTCCTAGCACTGATGCACTTTTTGTACATTAGAAATGGCAATGATAAGTCAGCCATTCCCAGTGAGGAATAGAATAACACTCATAAGCTGAACACTAGTAAGTAATTTTGCAGTGATGATCTCACCATCAAGATTTGGGGTGCTGATATCATGAAAATGCAGTCTGGTGATGGCATTGCACCTTGGTGAGGAACTTACTATCTTATGTGCTTGATTTTCTTTTGTAGCATTGCTTGACGTTTATGCGTGTGCGTGTTTGTATTATATTGCTGTGCGAGTTATGTCTTTAGTTTAGAGTTTTTGTTTGTCTTCTTTAGTTTAGAGTTAAATATTTTACATTATGGGTAGTTGCATTTGGCCACCTTGTACTTAGGCTGTTACACTGACACATCACCGCCCTCACCTATAATTCGCGACACTAATCTCCTTCAACTTGTGACCAAAGTGAAAAAGGTAACAGAGATAATGGTTTTGACTAGAAGTTAAAAATGCCCCCTTTTTGTTCCCATTTTATTTGGGATGCCATCTATCAGTCAATATATATAGAGATTATCTATTAATATATGATAAGCTATGGCTATGAATATATTATGTAATCCATGCTTTTCAAATTATTTTTGTGAAGAGCTAGATTTTCTATTTTGGTGATTCATATATTTAATCTCACAAGCTAGGGTTGTGGTTTATTCTTTGAAAAAGCATTGGTTTCGTGGATTGTGTATGACGCATATACCTAGGGATTAGAGTTGGTAATTTGAGAATTATACATTCAGGTTGAATATGCATAATCTTCTATTAAGTATGTGTTTGTGTTGATTACCCTATGCAAATTAATAAGTTAGTTTCGTTTTTTGGTCTGTTTCAGGAAACATATCTGCACTCTCTCTGGTTATCATGATCGGACAATTTTTTCAGCGCATTGGTCAAGGTAGCAAGAATTTATACAGTTATGGTAATTGTTTAGTCATATGCTTAGTATGTGCTCTGATCCTTGTCGTGTTTCATAAATTAAACACCCCCCTTTTCTTCCCTTTGTCACACAAGGGTAAAAGATCCTTAAATTGTTTCCTTGTTAGCCTACTCATTCATGGAATGGGTAATTTGGGACTACCCTAAATCCATTTCACCCTTTTTAACAGTTGTTGAAATTTGAATATATGATTTTGGTGAGAGATTGAGTCTGAGTTCTTGGCGTAAACACCCCACTTTCTAGTTGCATTAATATGGAATAGTTAAAGCTCCATTGTCACAGCTTAATCAACTGAGTTGTGGATTGTCTCCTCCTCTCTTGATTTTTCTATTTATGATGTGCAACTATGACAGGGAAGGAATAATTGCTAGTGGAGCAGCTGATGATGCTATACGTCTATTTGTTCCAGGCGAAAATGGTTTGGTACTAAAACATCTTTCTCATTCATTGTGATTTCTGGTCTATGAACCAGAAAACTAGAAGGACTAGCTTTATATATATTTCGTGTGTTGTTTTGTTTCTTTAAGTCTTACTCTATTGTTTTCAATGCAGTAGAGCCCAACTGTTTTTTCACTGCCTTTAATTTTGTGTGAAAGTAAAGTTTACTTTTCATTTGTGTTGTTTGTCGAAACAGTTATCTAGGTGGCTCAAAGAATTCTTTAGATGGTTATATAGTCACTTCTTTAACCCAGCCATAACTTGGGAGTTTTGGGAAGCACTTTGTATTTGTTCACACATTAAATTATTTTGCAGTAATACCTTATTTTGATATTATCAATTGTTGCTTTGGAAGGATATGATTATATATTGAGGGGGAGTTGGTTTCCTCTTCGGATTGCAAATTTGACTTCCTTTGTTTGTGTGAGGCTCTTTGGATATCTATACTTTTGATCAATAGTTGATAGTGCTTTGGGTGTCTAATTGATTTCTCAAAATAACCATTCCTCTTCCTGGGCACCTTTTGTTATGAGATATCCTGCTCTGCTAACTTGGCATTGTTCCTTTCCCACCTGATGCCTTTAGAATGTGGAACTGGTTTGCTCTAAGGAGGAAATTCAGTGATACATGACCTCTCAACTTGTGCAATACAGATGTTTTCCCTCTGCTTCAATATCACTGTGCTTCTTTTGGTCAGTAAACTTATGATCTCCTCCTGTTCAAAAAGAAAAAAACTAATGATCTACTATCGGTGATGTTGAGGGTTTGTTTTTTCTGCTAGTTTAAGAGCAAGCCCAATGATATGCCAATGTTGGTTAAAATGCCTAATACACCTTATGAAAATTTTAATTCAAAGCATAGTTTGAAGACTTTGCAAATACATACAATTATATTCACATAATAGAATCATTATGTGATGATTGTCCTGATAATTCTCTTTCCTCTTAATGATCTGGGGATTTCTTGATGAGCCGACATAACAACTTCTTGTAGTATGTTTTTCAATTCTAGGGATTGCATGTGACATGAAATCTAGTATATTTCACATGGCAAAATGGTAAAAAACTCGCATATGCTATCTGCAGGTATTTCTCCATCATTTTTCCCTTGTTCAAAGTTGTCAGTTGTAGCAAGTGTTCTTGTGTTTTTGCTTGTTTTGCATTCCTGTTATCGTTTTCCCATTTGAAATGTGCACCAAAGTCAGATCGGAGTGGTGCTGTAATTGTTTTGATATTTCAAACTTTCTGACACCTCTTGAGTTTCTACTTCCTTCCTTTACTAGATCTACTCTTGGAGTCCCCCAATAATACATTATTTATAGCATCATTTTGGTTTGTTTTAATCCTGGCTTGGCTGCCTTTCCAATCCTCCTCTTCTTTATTGTTATTATTGTATCTCAATTAATACCATTGGTGTCATGAGTATGAGAAAGCTAGCCTCCTCATCTTCTCAGGGAGAATTAATCTGTCCATATGTTTAGGAGTATCCCTTGTTTTGCCAAAATGCAATCGACACCATGTTTGCCAAAGTGGGTTTTATTACCCTCTTCTCTGGGTATATATTTAGGGATATTTTGAATTTTTTTCCTTCTTTTCATGAATTGTTGTCTTTTCCTCTATGCGCCCAAAATTTTAGGTTATTCAGTAAAAATGCAAGCCAAAGGTTTATCCTTCTCCTCGTGTATGAAGAATTGGTGAGGAAATGAATTGTAAAACTAGGAATCTGCACATCCATGGTGTATCTCAACTTTCTTCTTTAATCCCATTTGATGTGTCAAACACTAAAAGCTTCTCCTTCCATGTAAGCTCTACATGAATTAGGGAGAAACAAAAAGGCAACACGAACATGACTTCTTGTAAGTGACTCAATGACGGGCAAGTTGTCCCTTCTGTTGATTCTGAGTCTCAGGCTTACTACTGCTATTGTCAAATATGAACAGTTAGTGTGGAGAAATTTTGCGGAGTACCACATAATTTTTAATCTCTTATACGTTGAGTGGGATATAGCGTATCTAAAATTCAACTTTAATGCATCGCGGGCAGTTCGACATTTGTAAAGAGGTCATGAAAAGAAGCTACTGATAGGATTTTCAAGTATTGAGGAATTTGGGTGGTTTACTGTCATTAAGTTTAGGGGACAACACTAAGCGATGTCAAATAAAAACACTGAAGATACTGGTGTGCTATCTATTTGCCCATATGAATGGTTCTTCAATATGTGCTGTTCATAAAGAAGATATGGGTTTTATGAATTTTCTGTTCTAAGAATCCTGTATATCTGTATTGCCCTTTTCAGTGTCAGTGAGATAACAAGGACTTTGTTATGTATTTTTGTCACAGATTGATGGACCTACCTATAAATTGCTTCTGAAGAAGGATCAGGCGCATGACATGGACGTAAATTCAGTTCAATGGAGCTCTGCGGTAATTTCAATTCATACATACATTCATAATTTTATGAGAATCGGTTAATTCACTCGCACTTTGACATAAGATCTCATGTGATATGGATGTGTGGTTGTGGGGGGATCAGTTCTGGTTATCTTAACCCTAGGTGTCCTTGGATTCACAATTTGGACGTCCAGATTACAGCCTCCTGACAATTGTGTATTGGTTCTTTATTTGTCCAGAACATATGTCTCTAAACTAGTTGGCAGAAATTACCCAGCAACAGTTAGAAGGATTCCTCTACCAATGCAACACAGTCAACTTCATTTGTTAGAACAGCTTCCTTTTGAGTCTCTGCACCTACCCTCTTTATTTTTGCTTTCTAAACCTTTGTTTTCGGAAAATAGGATTTGGATCAGGCTTGTCCATTTTTATTAATTCCAGGGGTTCTTTGAATTTGAAAGTTATCACTTAGTAAGTTTCCATACCAAGGCTCAATCCAATCGAATCTGTAGCGTCTATGCTAACCATTCAGATAGAATCATCAATGTGATTAAGAGTGAATAGCACACATATTACTCTGCTGGGTGGGAGTCTCTATGATATCCCTATCCCTTGCTAGTCCATCTTAGGTTCTCCAACCTGATGCTTCTGAACTTGTGATAAGCAGGTACCAGAAGTTCATAAAAGTCATCTTATGAAAATTATCTACCCTAGTATTACTGATCCACCATTCAAAAGATAGATTTGGGAGTAGAACACACCATGTCAAGGATCAGTTTTCCCCTTTCTTTCTGTAGAAATTCCGTAGTGGATTGGAGTCCTTTGACCGAAGATAGTTTGCTTTGGCTTTTTTCTCTCCATCCACATGGGGCTAAGTCATACTTTGCATTGACCTAAAACGGGTGGGGAGAGAGAGGAGAGAGTGAGACGTCCTTGTTTCACAGCTTAGCTCCCATACTTTGTGAATGTGTCGAGTTCCTTTAGTCCTCATTTTAGACTCACAGTAGAGAACGTTTAGTGTTTATACATTTTCCATTCATTGAAACTTGGCAGGAAAACAGGCTACTTGCTTCTGCAAGTGATGATGGGACCATCAAGATATGGGAGTTGGCTCCTCCATCCGGGAAATAAGCAATTTTCGTTGTAGTTCCGTTTTATTGGGAATCAGTGGAGATGCTTATCAGTCATCTCACAATGTTGTAGAAATATCATGTAATTTGTTTGGTGATGTCAAAGTTTTGATATATTTTCCAAAATCTTGTTGTAACTTATATGGTCCAGCAGAAGTATAGATCATTTTGAAAATAATAAAAGTCGGTGCTCAATTTTATATATTATTTTCTATGGTAAATTCCTCTGCAACTGAGCTTGATTCGGGCCTCTCTCTCTCTCTCTCTCTCTCACACACACACACACACACAGGTACAGACAGTTGGATTTGTATGCTTTGTTTCCTTTGGAACCTGATTATGTGATGAATGTACTGTGCGCTATGCCACTTTGTAATCTCAATCACCGATTACTTCGTAAATAGAAGCCACTGGTTTACCGATTTCACTTTGTTTGAGGCACACAACACCCCCAAATCCACTGCATTGTATCCCTTGCAAACACATTACTTAGCCTTTGTGCAGTGGTAAGATTATTTTATTTTTTGTGTTTGAGATCAAGCCGTTGAAACAGTTTTTTCGTATGAGATGGTAAAATTGTTTACATATAACTCTTCAAACTACACTACGACGTGGGTGTGGCAACCTCCTGCACTGTGTTGGTTTTTACTAAACAAAGTTTACAATCTTGGGTATAGGACATTCTATTGGGGGTGTTAAATCAGGTCTTGTGTCACCGGATGATGGAGGAGCCAATTGTTGATACATTTTCCGGACATTAGCTTAATGACTGCAATTCTCATATGGGCATAGGTGGCTGTACACCTTGTTTTATTTTCCGGCCTCGGGGAACTTTACTTTAAGGGAAATGGATCCAATCAAGAGTACTCCTTTACGATTATGTTCCGTTGGTGAACTTCTCGCTTTAGAAGTTTCTTCTTGTTTTGCTTCTTCTAGTGTCTCAATGACGGTCTTAGCTATCTTTTTCAAAGATAACTGATTTGTTTGAACTTCAAGGATTGATCGAAAGAGAAGATGGAAGGTTACTTCCAAGTCTCTCACCTCATTACATGCAAACAACTATACTTAACAGTCTTTGGTTAGATTTTGAACCCTAGTAACCCAGTTGTATCACCGATCATCTCCTAAGTCAATCAGGGATCAAGTCCCAAGACGAGTAATTAGTATAACAGTTAATCGAGTTGAAACTTTCCAGTTTTGAGAGACATTGACAAGTTGATTATATCAGACTTGAACTTGATTGTTGAGTTTGAATTCTCTCTCAACCACGACTCTCTTTTCTAGACGGTACAATCATGTTTAGCTCGACTGATTCAGCTCATTTTCATACTATGAGGTCGAATTCTAAATTGTTCTGGGATCAAACCCTAAGAGGAGTAATACAATTGATTTAATTTGAGAATTCTGCGGCGCCTCATAGGCTGATAGGCCATTAATCGAGCTGAATCTTCTAAGCTTAGATCTATCCAAATTGGATAAGATAATTATAACATACTCGAACTCAGTTTATATTATTGCTTAAGCACAACTCTCTTTCTAGATCATATGTTCATCATCCGTTCAACTCAACTATTCTTGTAATAGATCGAATTTGAGCTTAGACACGGAAAAATCCTAAAAATACAAGCACGATAAGAATCAAGCGTGACATTACTTAGGTTAGACAATTTTTGGTTCATTTTTTTTAATATGAACAAGCTTGAACAAACTAAAATTAAAGTCAAAGAACTTGTCTGTTCTTTCGAAATGTACTGATTAGAATAGAAGTGCTATCATAATAATGATCTACATAAAAGAGGTGCATAGCCCAATATCTTCATACTTAGGTGCATTATCAATCATCCAGATTAGAGAGCGGGTACAAATATTGCGGGAGTCCCATGCTTTATTTTGTTCAAAACAAACAAAAAAAGAAATAGGAAATTCAAATCTTAGGTTTTAAAACTCAGCTAGCACCTGTTCTCTATCCTTAATCTCCTAGAATTTCTTCCACCTTCAACCAAAGCTGCACGAGCTGACATTATGCTGTTATTCATCAATGAAGCATCAAAGGCAGTGCAATCAGTCCAATCCTTCAACAGCTCCTCTTGGCCCCATATCTCCGGGATCCAAACCCTCCCCGCCACCTCCATCCGGTGTCTCTTCAGCCTCTCACGGCCACTGTCCTCCGCCATTGCCTCGGTGGAGCTGGGTGGTGCATTTGTAGTGATCACGTCCAGTACTGGAGTTGATGTACACCCTTGTAGTACTGAAGTTGCGTCATTTGTTGGTTTCTTTGATTTAGAAGATGGGGTTTGAGGCAGATTCTGATGATTATCAACCTCTGAAAATGGCCTTTCTGATTCAATCTGATCATCTTTTTTCTCAGTTTGCTTGAACTCCGACGAAACTGAGACAACTTGGTGATGAGACGCATTTTCACCACTCTTTGAGCCCATGTTTGTGGGTTGTTCTTCAGCTAAAATGGGGTATGCTTAAAACTCTCTCTCTCTCTCTCTCTCTCTCTCTCTCCTGCGTTTGCTTTCATTCTTGTGATGAAGATTCCATGAAGCTTTAATATTGTGAGGGAAGAAAGCGAAGCAAGTATGTGGGGGTGTTAGTTTACACGTCGCCACAGGAGTTGCTTTTTGTATGGTAAGTGACAAATGTACGTGTCTTGTTTGAGATTGGGTGCCATTTTGTGTGGTTTAGTTCAACCTTTATAAACTTCTCCCATACAACAGCAATAGTACACCCACGTTTTTTTTTACCAAATTAGTATCCATTGTTCCACCAACTACAAAACATTCAATATGCCCTGGCGGACGCGCTCTTAACCTAATGACTTTACACGTAACTTGTGTTTGAAATCTTGATAATTCGCTAGATTTTATAATTTACACTAAATATAGCATTTTTCTACGTTCTTTATCGATGTTAGAGTCAAAATATCTATTGTCGGGAGTCATTTTAGATTCAAAAAATACAAACACCTCCCGTGCACATTTTATATAAACAAAATTAACTATATAACTTTTGAATAACGCACCCATAACAGAGAAAAAAAGCATTCAAAAGGGATAAAGAGAAACCCTAAAGAGGGCTTAATAGCATTCCCTAAAGGGAGAGCATAAAAAATCAAGACTACTATTTGGTAAGGATCGACTCCTTGATCTCTTCGGTGATAGAATCCTGAGAGAATGGGACCAAAAAAAAAAAAAAAAAAAAAAAGAAACAAAAGAAAAAAAGATGACATCAGCTGCAATGATGATGTGGTGTCAAAGGTTATGCTCAATATTTTTTTCTTCGGAGGACACTTAGAGGTTTGCGAGACCCATTTTTGGTATTTGGCCAATGAAGATTGAGTATTTGATATACTGGTGGAACTTTGGGACATGGCCTAGGGTGTTCACCTTACTTTACGGATAAGAAATATTCTCTTTCGTTTTCTTATTCGATATTTTACAGAAGAGTTTTTTCTTGGCCTACCCTACCCGACAGGTGTGATATTCTTACCCGTCTTCCTATCCGATTAATCGGATAGGAAGTTAGGTAAATATTTTTGTAACAATTAATTTTTAAATCATTTTAACAATTTAACAATACAATAAATCAATTAACACTAAAATCTAAAACAACTATAACAAGAATTATAATAAAACACATAAAAGTATGAACATCAATCTACTATAATTGTTACACAAATACAATAACAATTAATTTAAGTTTAAATTTTAAACCATATGAAATATATTAAAATCATAATTGCTCCGCTAGGATTTAGGATTTTTTTGTTTACATATATATATATATATATATATATTAAAAAATTATTGCAGGTAGGATAGGGTAGGGTAGGAATGCGGAAATGAATGACTATTTCGCATTCCTACCCGAAAATTGTCGAAAAATCAAAAACTCTTCCATATTCTTACTCGATTTTTACTGCTACCCGTTCAATAGAATAGAGTAGGAACTTGAGATCGATCGTTAACTTGTCAACATTTGTTATTGGCATTAAAAATCTCAATCCTCCATGTCCACTTCTTTCTGTGGCCATAACTCTCTCTTTCTAGTATTGAGTTTTTTTTATCGATCTATTTACATGGTGGAGTGCGACGAAATTTAAACCTTCAATCTTATAATTTAACAGTGAAGACAATGATTATTACGTCAATTACTAACCTTAAAAGTATTGAATTTAATGAGAAAATTCTGTTATTTTTCTTTTTTAAATTATTTCTTCACCCCTTACTTAAAATGAATTTATTTTGCTTGTGAGAATAAAAATGTCTTGAACTGGTCCCTTCATATTGTATCATGGTGGAAAATCTGTCAAAAAAAAAAAAAAAATCAAATTTGATGGTGCATATGCTGATAGAAGGCCAAATGCAGTGGGGGCCACACACCCTAATATTGTGATGAATACCTATGCATGTAAGTAGTACACATTTGTCTTATAAATANAAAAATCCTAAAAATACAAGCACGATAAGAATCAAGCGTGACATTACTTAGGTTAGACAATTTTTGGTTCATTTTTTTTAATATGAACAAGCTTGAACAAACTAAAATTAAAGTCAAAGAACTTGTCTGTTCTTTCGAAATGTACTGATTAGAATAGAAGTGCTATCATAATAATGATCTACATAAAAGAGGTGCATAGCCCAATATCTTCATACTTACGTGCATTATCAATCATCCAGATTAGAGAGCGGGTACCAATATTGCGGGAGTCCCATGCTTTATTTTGTTCAAAACAAACAAAAAAAAGAAATAGGAAATTCAAATCTTAGGTTTTAAAACTCAGCTAGCACCTGTTCTCTATCCTTAATCTCCTAGAATTTCTTCCACCTTCAACCAAAGCTGCACGAGCTGACATTATGCTGTTATTCATCAATGAAGCATCAAAGGCAGTGCAATCAATCCAATCCTTCAACAGCTCCTCTTGGCCCCATATCTCCGGGATCCAAACCCTCCCCGCCACCTCCATCCGGTGTCTCTTCAGCCTCTCACGGCCACTGTCCTCCGCCATTGCCTCGGTGGAGCTGGGTGGTGCATTTGTAGTGATCACGTCCAGTACTGGAGTTGATGTACACCCTTGTAGTACTGAAGTTGCGTCATTTGTTGGTTTCTTTGATTTAGAAGATGGGGTTTGAGGCAGATTCTGATGATTATCAACCTCTGAAAATGGCCTTTCTGATTCAATCTGATCATCTTTTTTCTCAGTTTGCTTGAACTCCGACGAAACTGAGACAACTTGGTGATGAGACGCATTTTCACCACTCTTTGAGCCCATGTTTGTGGGTTGTTCTTCAGCTAAAATGGGGTATGCTTAAAACTCTCTCTCTCTCTCTCTCTCTCTCTCTCTCCTGCGTTTGCTTTCATTCTTGTGATGAAGATTCCATGAAGCTTTAATATTGTGAGGGAAGAAAGCGAAGCAAGTATGTGGGGGTGTTAGTTTACACGTCGCCACAGGAGTTGCTTTTTGTATGGTAAGTGACAAATGTACGTGTCTTGTTTGAGATTGGGTGCCATTTTGTGTGGTTTAGTTCAACCTTCATAAACTTCTCCCATACAACAGCAATAGTACACCCACGTTTTTTTTTACCAAATTAGTATCGATTGATCCACCCACCACAAAACATTCAATATGCCCTGGCGGACGCGCTCTTAACCTAATGACTTTACACGTAACTTGTGTTTGAAATCTTGATAGTTCGCTAGATTATATAAACAAAATTAACTATATAACTTTTGAATAACGCACCCATAACAGAGAAAAAAAACATTCAAAAGGGATAAAGAGAAACCCTAAAGAGGGCTTAATAGCATTCCCTAAAGGGAGAGCATAAAAAATCAAGACTACAATTTGGTAAGGATCGACTCCTTGATCTCTTCGGTGATAGAATCTTGAGAGAATGAGACAAAAAAAAATGAAAAATAGAAACAAAAGAAAAAAAGATGACATCAGCTGCAATGATGATGTGGTGTCAAAGGTTAAGCTCAATATTTTTTTATTCGGAGGATACTTAGAGGTTTGCGAGACCCATTTTTGGCATTTGGCCAATGAAGATTGAGTATTTGATATACTGGTAGAACTTTGGGACATGACCCACTAGGGTGTTCACCTTATTCTACGAATAAGAAATATTTTCTTTTGTTTTTTTACCCGATATTTTATGAAAAAAAATTTTTTTGGCCTATCCTACCCGACATGTGTGATATTCTTGCCCGCCTTCCTACCCGATTAATCGTATAGGAAGTTAGGTAAATATTTTTGTAACAATTAATTTTTAGATCATTTTAACAATTTAATTAAATAACATGCACCAATTTAACAATACAATAAATCAATTAACACTAAAATCTAAAATAACTATAACAAGAATTATAATAAAACACATAAAAGTATGAACATCAATCTACCATAATTGTTACACAAATACAATAACAATTAATTTAAGTTTAAACTTTAAACCATATGAAATATATTAAAATCATAATTGCTCCGCTAAGGTTTAGGGTTTTTTTTAGTTTACATATATATATATATTAAAAAATTATTGTAGGTAGGATAGGGTAGGGTAGGAATGCGGAAATGAATGACTATTTCGAATTTTTACCCGAAAATTGTCAAAAAATTAAAAAATCTTCCATATTCTTACTCGATTTTTACTGCTAGCCGTTCAATAGAGTAGGGTAGAAACTTGAGATCGATCGTTAACTTGTCAACATTTGTTATTGGCATTAAAAATCTCAATCCTCCATGTCCACTTCTTTCTGTGGCCATAACTCTCTCTTTCTAATATTGAGTTTTTTTTATCGATCTATTTACATGGTATTGAATTTAATGAGAAAATTACTAACCTTAAAAGTATTGAATTTAATGAGAAAATTTTGTTATTTTTCTTTTTTAAATTATTTCTTCACCCCTTACTTAAAATGAATTTATTTTGCTTGTGAGAACAAAAATGTCTTGAACTGGTCCCTTCATATTGTATCATGGTGGAAAATCTGTCAAAAAAAAAAAAATCAAATTTGATGGTGCATATGCTGATAGAAGAAAGGCCAAATGCAGTGGGGGCCACACACCCTAATATTGTGATGAATACCTATGCATGTAAGTAGTACACATTTGTCTTATAAATATTGTGTCTCATATTCACCTAGTCCAACGTCCACTAGCCAGTATCTGGAGCCAAGTGGAACTAGGATTAGATATCTCACTCCAATTGGGATTAGGTTTAAGTAATACATTAGGATTATTGACAAATAAAATATAACCCTATTGAGATTTTCACATAGCGAAAAGACGTTCGTAGAAGATTTTTTAATGAATCACGTAAATCTTGTGTTCTAGAATGAATGTTCTTGATTATTTCTGGTACTACGAAACGAACTTGTGTCCTTCAATTTGAACCACAAATTTTAAAAAATTTGTTTGTAGGTTATCTTCCATTCATTCCAGACCATGGGGGGTCCAAAATATCACTAGATATANAACAAGCGCATCTTTGATTTGGAAGAACTTTAGTACTCATATTGAAGCATAGTTTTGGATATTCTATCTCCACTAGGCAGTCAGGAGGAGTTTTTTATGGAGAAGAACTGCAGTTAAGGTTAGGAGGTCGGGGCTGGTCATGCTCTACTTTTTGCGTGACAGGTGTGTGGCCCCTGCACTACACATTCTTAGGAGAATTCTTTACTTGTCACGAAAATAAGTGCAATGTTAAAACTTAACTAATAAAGAACACAACAAAGAATTAAGCAAGCTTTCCTTTTACACAGGACTATTGGATATCATTAACTAAGTAGTTTTGAACTTACCTGTTGCAGTTCCTATTCCCATTAATGATGAACCTGCATTGGCCATAATAGCTCGCACATCAGCAAAATCAACATTCACTAGTCCCGGAATCTGCAATTAAGGTACCTCATCTAATCATTGAACAAGAAAATAAACCCTAACATGTGTATGTGTGCGTGTATATATGGGAAGTAAATACACACAGGCATTCTCATATGACATATTGTATTATAAATTGGTGTGTATATTAATTTTCAAGGTTCGACATTCTATGTAATTCATTAACTTACAGTGATGACCTTATCCTCTTCATTTTGCACAAATGAGTAATATAATAAAAGGTTCAGGGAGAGAGGGGGGAGGGGGAAGATGTATGCAGCCTTATCCCCACATGCGGGAAGGCAGTTCCTGTGATTGTCATCAACATAATGGATGACCATTTTCTCCCATGAGAAATATTTAAGTGCATGCGAAAGGTATAAATGTTGCAGATGTTGGAATCATCATATACACTAAATGCAAAAATATTATTACTTAAAAGTAAAACAAAATCTTCTCATCACAATGATCAATGAAGCAACAAGGAACTAATTACCAATTTGGAAGCATAATGATTTACAGATGGCTAAAAATTTTATTAAAACAAAAGGATGCCTTCATGCACCTGAAGCCTATGTAGAAAGAACCCCTAATAAAAAGAAAGTGCGTACAAATCCAGCACTTTCAATCAATAAATTAGTTACAGATGGAAGTTGAAGTTCTCATGACAACTTATTTGGCATCATACCGTAATTATATCAGAGATACCACGAACCCCTTGTCGAAGAATATCATCAGCCAGGTTAAATGCTTCTGTTACTGGAGTAGATGGGGACACTGCAGTTAGTAACTTGTCGTTTGGAATGACAATCAGGGTGTCAACATTTTCTCTCAGAGCTGCAATTCCTTCTTGGGCTTGAACTGCTCTCCGTCGTCCCTCAAAAGAAAAGGGTGTTGTTACAATACCAACAGTCAAGATACCCATTGACTTTGCAATCCCTGCAATTACAGGAGCCCCACCAGTGCCCGTTCCTCCACCCATTCCAGACTGCACATATCAGTTTTGGTACTAGATAAGAGATTGATAGAATCTGAAAAATGGAGAAAGCAACAAACTGTTGGCATGAAGGTATTAGTTGCTTAACAAGTAGGCCGTTCTGAAGCTAGTATTTTACCACATCAGGCTGTGATTTTGTTTAGATATTGACCCACTGAACACCCATTATCCATTTGCAAGCCTAGCATACAAGACCAAGATCCAAGGATAGCATTTCTCAAGCATAAAATGCATGATTGATATTTCATTGATCTTACAAGAATAGGCTGTGATGATTCTGTTTGGCCAACAGTGCATGGTACTATTATGGACCATACTATGATTACAAATTACATATCGTGTGACTGGTTTTAGATTTAGATATCATGAAAAAAAAAATGAATGCTGTCAAACAGTAAAACAAATCTTTGAACAAGGTTTTTGAGTTTCATCATAATTGTTCTTCAAGGGTAAAGAACATGCAGGTAACTTTTCATACGATGGGCATTAGCAACGATAGACCATCTTTACACAATTAACTTAACGACTCAACCTTCTGCATGCTCATCTATTCAACAGACTAATTCATAAGTACCGCCAACACCAATTTACTTCAACTTAACCAATTTCCATTGTGTTCGATTAAGTATCAAGACTTAAATTGGTGAAACCATTAGTGTTACTGTCACCAGATTAAAGAAGTACTTGTGTAACTACAACTGGTTATCAAAAGGAGGAATTACAAAACCCAAGCCGTCAAACTGGAGACTGTATGTTTGGACAATCAAAAGACACTGTTTTGATTGATTGCCTTCTGAATGAGTATTAAATGAAACCCACCCAGTTAGGAAACCATTTCATTAGTCTGTATTTTTTTTTCCTGTCATTCGTCTACAATTCTTTTACATTTGTTAGTGGTTTATGCTCTTCACTAACTAACAATGTCATGAAAAAGGGAAGAAAGAAGGCTCAAGCACCATCATGTAAGATAAAAAAGATGGTTTTACAACAAAAATCCTTCAAAAAGGAGGAAAATTCTAAAATGACATCAGATACCAATTTATGCTGGAAATTAATAGCTGATCTTACAGTCACAAAGACCATGTCTGCACCATAAACTGCATCCTCTATGGCTTCTTTGCTTTCTTTCGCAGCATTCGTGCCAATATCTGGGTTCCCACCAGCGCCAAGTCCCCTGGTAAGCTCTTGACCAATCTGTAACCGATGCTCAGGAAACACAGGTGACATTTTCATCGCTTGAATATCAGTATTAACAATCCAGAACTCCACACCCTTCATAGAACTCTCTATCATACGATTAACTGCATTTGACCCACCGCCTCCAACACCAATAACCTTTATCCTAGCCTCATTGTAATTACTTGAACTCGACGAATCTCTTAAGCTCTCGGTGACACTCCCACTTGCACTATCCTGCCTCGGATTAGGCACCGTGTTGTTCCCCTCTCCACCTCTAAGCATTGAAATTTCTGGGTGTAAATTCAGAAATGGGTCTTTATTATGATACTGATTGACACTGTGAGAGTTGGCTGAACATTTAATCTGAGCCCAATTTGAAGCAACCTTTTGGTTAACACCTGACAACCCATTATTTTCCTCAAACACCTTCAGGGAGCTTACTCTTCCCAAGTGATTATTCTCCATCAATACTCTCCCTCCAAGAACAGTTAGTACACCCATTGGGCCTCGAGTATCGAAAGGCTTAAAATATGGGGATATAGACGTTGCCATTGCACAACAGCCTAAATCTCAGAAGTTAATGTAACTTGACTAATGCCACAAAATAAAGAAACCCAATTCCCTATACGTCAAACTGAAGTCCGAAATAATTCTTCCAATACCTATTAATCAGAAACCAGAAAACCAGAAAATACTCAGGTACAGGAAGAAGAAGCCCATCTAGAGAGTGACATTTAAACCTCTTTCAAAAATGCCTCGGATAACAAAAAAATCAACAGAAGTTGAACTAAAAAGTCAGAAATACTAGAATGGCACGTTCGCTGATGAAGAATAAGAATTAACATAATCACACTGCCCGGAATGAAACCCAGGTAACTGAAAACCCCCCAAAACAGTACATGTCGCTTAAAAAAATAAAACCCAAATATAGTTGTGTAAAAATGCTATAATTTCACATTTCATGGCAACAAGCGGATGAACTGCAATGAAATGACCCAAAAGAGTACAGCAAATTTAAGTTAAAAAACAAGCCTAAAATATGAATAACTAAATGAAACACAAAATAAAATGAAAAGTGGGTTACTAGAGAGAGAGAAATAAGAGATAGAGACCTGCTAAAGTTGCTGGAAACGAAAAGCAGAAACAGCAATGCTCGGAGCATGAGAGGAGGGTCGAAATGGAGGGCTTCGGTTTCTTTGGCCTTTTTGGACGATCTGTTTTGAGCTAATCAATTTACTCGACCAGAGTAGAGACCGGTGTCGTTGTTAATTTGGTTATACAGTCTGGGTTTTTTTTTGTTGACCCAAAAAAAGTCCCCTACACCGAACACACACACACTCTCTCTCTCTCTCTCTCTCTCTCTCTCTCTCTCTCTCTCTCACACACACACACACACACACACACACACACAC